AACGCTCTAGGAAGTATGCAGCATTATGCTAACCAAGGCCGCCTATTACCTTTTCATTGTTGAAAGAAAATACGAAACTTCCAGCAGTCTTTCATTTATGCAATCGTTATCTAAACAAGACTACATCTTTAAAAAGTCAAAAAATGATACACATATGTGGTCTCCGTTATAAAATTGCGCAAACTAGTTTTTAAACATAGTAGACGGGCGAAATTGCACTCTCCATTCGAAGGGAACCAACCATGCCATCGAATGTTTGTGCGTGTAATGTGGCTGTCTGGATTCCATTCTGATTTCATTCGACCTAGTATTGACTTTTCACTTTTGCTCTATTTGAATGATCTCCTACATTATCAGAGAACCTGGTGGACACAATGCTGATTATACTCTTAAACACCCTCATCAAACAATAACACTCTTAAGCAGCTCATTGACTTTTAAACCTTTTCGATTAAACTAAGAATATCGTTTATTTACAAGCTTCTTTGGGAAATAATCATGAATTATTCAACTGTAGGCAACGAAAGAGTCACTGTTTTACCATAGGGAACTGTAAAGAACAAATTTCTGTTTGCACGATTCTTTCCATTTACGGTTAACTACTAACTTATGTTGCATTCTTCACGTTCACCTTTTGTCATCCTAACTGTTTTAAAAGATTTAACCTTGAACATATAAAGGGATGGAAAGACAATTTTACATCAGGCTGTCAGTCAAAAGTTATCCATAAGCACCATTTATCTATACTATCACTGCAATCAATTTCTAATTAATACCTCACCTTAACTAGTAACATTTTTCGATACTCTGTTTGAAAATGTAACGATCCAACTGTTCTCTGTGTCCCTATCAATGCCTTTATCCTGTCTATTATGCCAATGTATTCCGCAAAATATTGTCTTTTCTCTTCTCCTCCTTCGACCTATAACAAAATCTTCACTCTAATTCGCCTAGAAATGAATTCAGCGAGCAGTTGTATGAGCGCTTCTGTTCATTGACATTATTTGGAAAAACAAAAAGTTAGAGGGTACTTTTTTGCAAAACTTTTAACTGTACATTAGCGCACAGTCTCCAGGTGATTTTTATTCTACATCACTTGCCTCCGCAATGCTGCGCTTGTCATTTCAATTTTAACTTTGATTTGTTAAGTTAGCAAAGCACGACCGTTCGTCGCACATCAAGGTTGAGACCTTTTAGTAAATTAGAGAGTGAGGGAGAGACTATCTCGTTTCTAGGCCCTTTTTCTACTCTGGCAGCCATAAGCGAAGTAAAGAGAAAGAATCATGAATTAGTTGCTATAAAATTAACAATCGTGTCTATAACCTTTATCGCCTTTATTGATCATCTGTTTAGAGAGTACTTGAGTTACTCATCAACTGCACCTGATTACAAATGCTGGTCCCAATCCTGCTATTATTATTTTATAATATCTGTGATGCATACAAAATTCTTGTCGTCAATCCAAAATTAGCCTACAGTCATATGAGGTTCATGGGAAAAATCGCTGACGTCCTCGTGGATGCTGGACACGATGTGGTCAATAGCACAGGCATTTTTTTAGAACTTAAAGAATTAGTTTCAATTAAAAAACAGGAGTTGCTCAACTAAAGCATATTTTAATTTTTGGATTGCTATCCCTGGTACAGAATACATCTTCTGGTCCAAACGCGTTCTTCATTGATAACTTCGTAATAAGGCACTTTCAGGTAACTCTGCAGCCTGTACTTGCTCCATATCCATCGAACGGCACCACAAAATCGCGACTAATTCAAATGGATGTCGATAGTAGCGACATTGCACCCTTCATAACCATGTTGCAAAAGGGTCAAAAAGAGAAATGGACTGATAGCGCTACGAATCCTTTTACATTTTCAAGGGTGCGTGTATCAAAAGCTTGAACTTTGTTCTTCGAACTTCAGAATTTTGAAACATTATAAGCTTTTTTTTCAGCCAATCCCCATGTTCAAAAAAATCATATCTGCGACTGTGGCAAGTGAGTAATTTGGATTATT